CTCAACTTCAGTGAAACTAAAATACACAGAACTAACAATTACTTCTTAGGAGTTTTTTCTTCACTTTAATAATTTACAAAGAACTTGATGTACAAGGCTTACTATACAAACAGAAATCTACAGATCTACTAAGCTGAGTGAAGTTGACACAACAAAAGGTATAGACAATTCAAAGGGACCTGGACACACTCAGAAAGCCTGCACACAAGAATCTAATGAGGTTTAACAAGGACAAGTGAAAGGTGTTGCACATGGTTCAAGACAATCCCAGATACAAGTACAGACTGGGAAAAAGAACTCACTGAGCAGCCCTCTGGAGGACTTGGGGATGGTCCTCATGGACAAGAAGTCAGACATGACCCAGGTGCCCATGCCTGCAACCATTAACAGTAACCAAGGCTGCACAAGAGGGGTGGCCAGCAGATTGAAGTACGTCCTTGTCCTCCTCTACTTTGCCCTCATAAAGCCACATCAGGAATATTATGGTCTGAGACTGGGGCCCCCAGCACAAGATGCAGAGCTGCTGGAGTGGGTCCAGAAGGGCCACAAAGATGATCCAAGGGCTGTAGCACCTCTGTAAGGATAGGTTGAGAAAACTGGCCTTGGAGAAGACTCCAGGAAACCTCACTACAGCCTTCCAGTACTTCAAGGGAACTTACAAGCACTTACAGACTAATAGCAATAAGGGGGAAATAGCTTTCAGAAAGAGGGCAGATCAAGGTTAGATGTTAGGAAGAAATTTTTTCCTCATAGGGTGGTGATGTACTCAAACAGGTTGCCCAGAGAGGTTGTGGATTCCCTAGCCTTGTAATAAAAATGGGTGCCCCAGGCAGTCTGATCCAGTGGTTGACAACACTGTTCATGGTGGGGGGAGGGAGGGTTGAACTGTATGATCCTCAAGGTCTCCTCCAACCAAAGCCAACCTAAGATTCAACAGCAACACATTAGAATGAGTCAATACTCAATGCATACAAGTTTCTTTTTTTAAAAAAGAGTATTTAATAAGCCTCTGATTGTACAAGTTTCACAATTAATGAGATGAATCGATATTGAAAGCATGCAGAAGATGCTAGAGTTTACACAGGCATTGTTGTTACTCCCCCTTTACAAAGCATAGCTAGCCATTATCTTTAAAATGGTGTATTGCAGTTGTGAAATTATTCATTGCGCCTTTGCACTTGCACACAAAAACTACTCGTAAATGAGTACAAATTGTCTTTTTTTCTTTCTCCTTTTTTTCTTGTTATTTCTGGTCAGGCTGGGCAAGTAAAAAAGTGATGGGAACAGGAATACTTCTGTCATTTAATTTTTTACACAATGTTTTTTTTTTTTTAAAAAAAAAAAAAGCTATGTACATACTCTCCAACAAATCCAATGGGACAACTCAAAATTCCATGGAATAAAAACCACTTTTATAAACACTCAGTTTTAAGAAGTTTCATTGTCAGAATCTAAGACACATACTTCAAAATATACTGGTCACGTGACAATATAAAATGTAAATCACATATTAAAACACTTGTATTTCAACTTGTGCTAGGAAGTACATGGCTTTTTAATCCAAAAAAGAGCTAGCCCTGCTATCACTAACAGATTACTACAGGAAATTACAGAAGAGAAATCATGACATAAGACACTTGCCTTCTTTACCCGACCTCACTGAAACAAAGCTTCCTCTAAATCCGCAGAACTAAAGAAAATTTTAGTTTTGGGAAAGGGTATTTTGGATAAGAAACCTGTCTGAGAACTTTGGGAGTAGCAGAAGCAAAAAGGGCACAGAAGTAAACTCTAAGACTGCTTGGATACTTCAGAAAGAAATTTAAAAGGAATGACAACATTCTGCTAGACATTGGAATAATAGAAATTCTGAGACAGCATATGACATACATTGACAGACTCTGGAAAACACTGTCTTGGGAACAATGACCCATTTAGCTTAACATCCTGCTTTAATTTAAAGAACAGCAAGGGTAGCATTGACTCAAAGTCTTAATTCTTCTACACACAGGTGTTTTAGAAGACTATAGAGTTTGTCAGCTGTGACCAACAAATTGGATACTTCGAATTTACAGCACTATTACTCAGAAAGCCCACTTTAGAAAATAAATCCATTGATGTTTGAGCTACAGGTGTAGTTCTCTAGCACATGGCTCATCCAAAGACTGTGTCAAAAGCTCCACTTAGAGTTTACATTTATACTTCCTTATGAAGCCAGATATTGAATCTATCTCCATCCTTTTGAAACAGTTGTATGGGTGAGCTATTCAGATAGCTTTAGAAATGTTCTGTTTTTATTGCTATGCATCATATGCTAAGTAAATTACTTTAGAGCTTGCAAGATGACCAGTGTTACACTCACCACAAATGCAGATGCCTCCCAAGATGCAGACACCCAACTAGTATTAAAGATGCCATAGCTAAGGCATCAAAAGACCCTGATGCCCTGAGGCATCAAAATGTCTGCAACATTCTTTACTACTCCTGAACTTAGCAAAATCTAGATGAGGAGCCAAGATTAAAAGTGTGCTCTTATATTACTAATTAGAACATTTAGTTTTGATAACGTTAAAAATTAAAAAACAGTACAGAAGCTATTAATTCATGTAATTTGAATTTGAGAAACAAGCTCAGATTTTGTTTCTTAGGATTCATTTCTTCCCAACAAAGTAATTGAGAAGAAATTGTAAATACGCATTCAGCTCAGTTTAACAGAAGACTCGTAATATTTTTTTTTCTTAAGAAACAAAGCAAACAAATTAAGGTCCCCCTCCCCCCACCACACACTCAAGGACTTCGGTATTATCAGCAACAAATCTGATACAAACAATTCAGATACAGAAAATGAACATCTAGTTACACTGAAAATTACGTGACATTTCTTCAAGGAGAAAGGTAAGGCTTTTAGGTTTCCTAGATCAGTGAGAGAGGGAGAAATTCCTTGCAACTATGAAGTGTTTCAGCCTCTATCCCCACCAACCTCAACAGGCCGGGACAAGTGCAATACCACAGAAACGCACAGCATTGCAACTGATCCCAACCTGTGTAGAAAGGGGTACAATTTCTCCACATTTACTGACTGACTTGTCACTGCCACAGTCAGTTTTGCATGGATTTGCACAGCAGAGTATCATACAGCTGGATGCAAACCTGCAAAACTAACCAGAGAACAGTGTTCAATTTAACAACAAATAAATTGCAAAACATGCTGAATATGTAGTTCTACAGCTAGCAGTACTTTAAGTGCTTATAATGCAGTAGATTAGTGAACACTACCTGCACTATAAGCACTTTAGTGCTACAAGAGCTGTCATCCACTAGTCTGCTGTTAAAAGTGAGAAAGGCCAGAAAACATCCCATAATCAGCAGAAAACCTTCAGACTCCTTGATGTAGATTATAACAGGCCACCATCAGTTTTGCATAGATTTGCACAACTACATTCTTCCTGTAGTGCAACTATGCAAAACTAACAGAAGACTGCAAAGCAGAAAGCTACTGGAACATCTACAGTAATAGCCTGAGTGACTGGATGAAGACATAACTTCTTATGCCAGAAGGAGCACTTAGGGCAGTAGATGCTAATCTACTTCACTATCTGCACTAGATGCACCTTAGTACAAAAAGCACTTGACACCACCACACAGTACCTTTCCAATCTCTGAAGTCCTGCAAGATCTCCTGAGGCAGTTGTCAACATAATGCTACAAGTGCCTTCACTGCAGTAGGTTCTATATATCACTACCTGCACTGTAAGCACTTTGACATTACTCTGACGCAACCAGCTTTTTTAGTAATTCAAGATATGTTGTTTACTTTGTTCCTGCTGAAAGAAAAGAACAAAGTGAGTACTGGGTCAGATTCTGAGTTGCACACTTTCAAGAACCAATATTCAGCCTCCATTTCTCTCAGAGTTAGCTTGAGCAGCACACTAACTCAGTCCAGGACTCTCCTACAAAGTACCGGGGACATCAGAATTAATGCTGACAATAGCAGAAAAGCCCATTTGTGAAAATGCATCAACTACCTTTCCTGTACCATTTTCAGAACAACATCAAAATTTCCATACATAAAAAATAACTATTCCCTTCCAAAGGCCAATCTGCAGCTGTAAGGGCAAGCTGTATCTCAGTAATAATAATAATAATAATAATAATAAAAAAAAAAAGATAAGGCCATAAGTTTTTAAGCGAATATAAACAAAGTTAATGCTCAATTTGGATAATTAAGATTTAGAAATTACATTCAGTAGATCCTATTATCCTTCTGAATTCCAGAAAGCACCTTATAAAAAAGCAGCTGGTAAGTAATGTTGTCTATTTTGCAGACAGATTGTAACATTTACTGTTACTGCCACAGATACCCTTTGCCTCAAGAGGGTTCCTCCCACTGGGTTTAGATGGGTCTGCCCTGCACTCAGAAAAGTTTCCAGTAATGGCTGTAAGTTACCCTAGCAAGTTACAGCTGCTTATTACAGATGTGAGATTCAAATAAAGCATGGGAGTGCTACATTCAAAACCTGAAAGTACATTTTATTCCCTTTTAAATTTGGTGTATTATATGAATGTGAAGTCTACCTTACCTGCACATAACAGAAAACTCAATAATATGAGTAATATCTTGAAAACACAGGAGTTTTTTTAAACTGAAAAAGAACTTCACTGAAGAACAAAAAAAAAAAAAACACGATTTAAACATGTTATAGAGTCCTTCACCACCCAGCTGCTTTTGTCAGACAGATGAATGTTCAAAAAAAAAAAAATGTGTATCACTCTCCTCTGAACGGGAGAAATTGTGGGCTGCTAAACATGCCTGCAATCCCAGGAAAGTCTTTCAAATTTAGTGCACGACCAAGCTCTCAGGCTCTGCTTTAACAGCACAAGCTCTGCATTAAAAAAAAAAAATTAATACAAGATAAGCGCTTACCATTTCCTGTGAAAAGCAACTTTCCCCACGAACACTCCACTGCAACATCCACAACAAGCTCCCGCATTTTCTGCCGCCCATGTCGATACTGCAAAAATACCACCGAATTACTTGCTTCGGGTCGCTGCGGAGAGAACAAAGTCACAAACCAAGTTTCCCGGTATCCTCCCCTTTATATTCCCCCCCGAAGGGCGCGAAACGCTCGGCTGCTCCCCGAGAGCAGCGGCCGCCCCCAGTCCCGAGACCTCCCTTTACCCAAAAGCCGACCGCCGGCGCAGCGGAGACCGTCCCGGCGCGCTCCCTCCCGCCTAGCGCGGCCCACAGGAGGCGCGGGGAGGCCGTGGCCGCGGGCCATGTGCCGCAGGCCCCTTCCCGGCCGGGCCCGCGCCCCTCACGGCGCAGCACGTGTTCCTGCGAGAACACAGGCGGCCGTGCGCCGCGCGTCCGCGCGTCCACCAGGGGGCGCCGCCACAACCGCCGCGGAGGTCACAGCCCGGCTACGGCGTGCCGCCCCCCGCCCCCCACCGCCAGACCGGGCCCGCCGAGCCCCGCGGCCCAGGCGGAGGGGAAGGGGCCGGGCCCGCCCGCTCCCGAGGGCCGCCCGGATGGGAAGGGGCCGCGGCGGGGGGAGGGGAAGCGGCTCCCCGGGCCGCCGCTGCCCACACGCGGCTCCGGGCCTAACAGGGAACAATCGGCCCCAGCACGCAGCCGCCGCCATGTCCCCCGCCTCCTCCCCCTCCCCAGCAACATGGCGCCGCCGAGGCCCCGCAGCTGCCGCCGCGCCGATTTCGTAACGAAGCCCGTGGCTCTCGGGCAGCGCGGGGCCCTCCCGCGGCCCCTCTCTCGCCCGCCCGAGGGAGGCGGGAGCCCGTGCCCCACCGCCCGCTCTCCCACGCCGCCGAGGAGCGCGGCCCGGAGGAGGGGAGGAAGAGGAGGGCCCGCCGCCCCCGCCCCTCTGCGAACAAAAGCCCACGCGGAGGGGCCCGGGACGCGCTCGCAGCCCGCGGCGCTGCCCCCCTCCCCGGGGCCCCGCGCCCCCTCCCCCGGGGGGCGGCGGAGCACAAAGCGCCTCCGCCGGGAACTCCCCGAGAAGCCCCCCCCTGCCCCTCCCCGCCGCCTCCACCTCCCGCGTTACCGCCGCTGCCGTTCCCGAGCTGGGCGTGGGCGGCGAACGGAGCCCCCGAGCCGCCGCGGCCTCTGCCCCATGTGCCGCTTTGTTCTGGCGCCGCCAGCTCCCCCCCGCGCCGCGCCGGGCACGCCACAAACTTTCCCGGCCGGGCCTCGGGCCGCCGGGGCACGGCCCCCGCCCGCAACCACCGCGGCCGCTGCCATTGTGCAGCGCCGCCCGCCCGGGGGGCTCGGCCGCTCCCCGCGCCGGGCCCGGGCCGCGGCCGGGGGGGAGGAAGGGGAGAAAGGGGGCGGCGGGGCTCGCCGCAGCGGCGCGAGGCGCGCACGCTTTTCAAATCTCCCTCATTCCGGCCCCTCCCGCCCCGTGTGCGAGCTCGGGAGGCGCCGTCGCCGCCGCCGCGGCTGCCATGCGCCCTGCTCCCGCTCTCCCCCGCCGCCCACCCACTCACCCACACACCCACACCCCCTCCCGCCGCCCCGGCCACTCACAGCGGCCCGTCCGCCCGCACCCCCCGCGCCGCCGCCGCGCTGCCCCCCGCTCCTCACCGCCACGGCTCTGCCGGCGGCCACGCGCGCGCGGCAGTGACACTCACCCGCCGGCGGCCGCCACCATCTTCCCTCCGCCCGGCCCCGGCGCCCCGCGCGGCGGCGGCAACGGGGCGAGGCGCGGGGCGCCGCCGCTCCCGGCGGAGCCCGTGGGGGTGGAGGGGGGGGAAGCGGCGTGGAGGCGGCGGGTCCCGGCAGCGACGGCGGCTGGGCTCGGGGACCATGTGGGTGAATGAAGGGCGGCGGCTCCCGCCTCAACGTAAATATCCACAAGCCCCGCTCCGCCCTCATTAGAATAGAAAACAAAGTGCTTCCGAGCAGCCGCGCCGCCCAATCGCCGGCCTCAGACCCCCGCCCCCGCCCGCAGCTGCCGCCTGCTGCAATTCATCCACACATCAGGCATGCACCGAGCGAGCGAGCGAGCGGCCTGCCCTGCCCCGCACCGCCCGCACCCCGCGCCACCGCCACAAACTTTGTCTCCGCCGCTGCGGCGCGGCACGACGGCACGGCACGGCGCATCGCGCTGCGCAGGCGGTGCGGTGCGGTACGCAAGGAGGGAGCGGCGCGCGCGGCGGCCCGGCGCAGGGCTGCACTTGTCCGAGCGGGAAGCGCGGAGCACGCGGGAGGGTGGGTGTGGAGGCAGCGGGGTGCGCAGAGGGCAGATGTGCCGCTTCCTGCAGCCACCATGAGCTGCGGCTGCCCCGCCAGGAGCCCAGGCCGGTAGCTATGCGGGTTGCTCCGTGCAGGGATGGAGGAGTGCTGGAGGTGACACGTGCGTGCAGAGTGTGGGGGCTTCCCCGTGGCCCCGTGTCACCGCTGCGTTGCGTGAACTCGTAGGAAGCAATGGCGAGAGGTTAGCATCCTTCCACACGGTGTAGGTGCATCTTTGAGAGCAAGCATTTACTTCAGTATTATTAAAGGTGCCTTTAACTACGAGTATTTGATAGAACGAATTTTTTAGACCTAAGTTTCCCTGTCTGGATGGAGATTCAGAAATCACTTTATCTTCCCAGTAAAAGGGTCAGAAAAGTGGGACCCTGGATTTGTCATTCCTGAAGCACTTTGTTCTTGTCTGATGTCGTACCACCATGGTGATATCTGCAGATAACAGAATATTCATTTATATACATTTTTATTCTTGTTACCTTTAGTACATTTTGGAGAAAGTTTACTTGTTTCCCACTTTATTGCATGTTGTGGTCGTTTGCAGGGGAGTGCTGGCAGTTCCTAACCTCATGGTGTTTCATTAGAGCTGCAGCACTATCTTTTAGATCACTTTGCTGTTTGAACCTTTGAGAAGTGATAATGTTCAGGGAGTATTACTGTTTATACGTGGTGTTAGATACCATGGAAGTAGACCCAATATAAAACAAAGTAGTTGTAGTATTGCTGTGGCTCTCTCACAACCGCGATGCTGAGGCTCTTTTCCCACTCCTTCCACCCTGCAGTTTATTTATTTTTCCTCTTTTTCTTGCTTTTTTTTTTTTTTCTTTTCCTGTTCTCGTGTTACTTTTGCCAAACAGGCCAACAAAAAGCAATCAATAAGATGCACATGTAAACCTGCACATGTAAACCTGATGATTTAGTGAAATCCAGGCCTTCCCAAACCTGGTGGCAATATTCCTGCAGACTGAAAACCGAACAGGTATTGGTTCAGTCCCTATATCTGAAGATCCTCATTGGCTTTTGCAAAGCTGAGCAAGTGTTGTCTTCTCAGAATTTAAAGTGAAAGAAGCAGTAAGGGAAGTCACGTTATATCTTACTGTGTAGAAGAAAGATAATTGTATGGGAGAAAGAATACAAGACTTGTTGCAACGGCTTTGTTCAGCTAAACAGAGGGGATGTAGTGACCTCAGGAACTGGGTTTGTGTCCCTGCCAGCACACAATGCCACTGATGGAAGAAATGTGTGGCTTCACTGTGCCTGGAGGATGGAATCTGCCTCCTACTGAAACCAGGAGGACACTCCTCATGAAATCCATGAGCGCATGTACCACCTCTGAGCATGTCTCTTGATATCTTCTGTTTCCCAGCTCTGTGGGGTTCACCTCCAGAAAAAAATGTCATTGGAAGTGGCTTTGGAGTACCATCCACAAAGGTAAAAATGGCTTTTCTGAAAGGAAAGCCCACAAGACCAAGTCAAAGTCAAATTTCCCCTTTATGTGTTAAACAGTAAATCCTGGTCTGTATCTGACAGATAAAACTCAGAAACAGAGGTCCTAAGGTCACTGTTCTTTCATGTATACTAACTCATCTTTTTGTCTTTTCTGGACATCTTGTTTTTCTTTACTACAGTAGCTGAGCACATCACATTGATCACACCCCACATCACGGTGTGGCATAGCAATTGCTGTTCCCATGTTACAGATGAAGGATGTGATGTAGTAAAGAACAGATTGCGGCTCTTTCAAAATCAAGGTTGAAACCAGAGCTGCATTTTTTTCTCTTTCTTAATCAATACGAAGAATATGAAAAAAAAAACATTATTCTTTATACACCACTTGAAATCACAGTTAACACATATAATGTGCAGCACACACTACTAAGAAATGTTAGGAAATACCTAATTTAGCAAGAAGCTGATGCACCTAAAAAGAAAAAAATAATAAAATATTGAAAACTTTTGTAACTTGGTTAATCATTATTATTAAAAGGCGATGTCAGCTCCTTGTCAAATTACAGTTCCTAAGCTAAAGACAGTGAGGAATATTTAAAAAAAAAAAAAAAAAAAAAAAAAGTTTGCAGCGTATTTTGGGGTGATTTTGGGGCTGTTTCTTAAAACATAGATAGACTGAGTATTGGCAGACCTGCAGAAGGTGCTCTAGTTTGATATTTTACTCCCAGTTTACTTTGGAAACTCATTTTTGGATGCATATAATTATTTCAAAATTTTACAAAAAAAATTTATCTGTAGCAGAGATGACAGATTTAGTAGGTTTTGGTCATAAAGATGAAACCAGGACAAAAGATAATCCCCCAATTATCTCCTTATATTTCCCTATCATTGCTAACGCACAAGTAAGATAAAACTGTACTTGAATAAAGTAAAAATTTTGGGGTTTACTGATTTTTCAGAGCTAATACTACGCCACACATACAGTTTCAAGAACACGTTTGAAATTGACTGAAGAGCAAACAAACAAGACTGGCACAAGAAGGCTTCCCCGTTTTTTGAATTAAGATATACTTTCCAGGTGTTATTTTTTTAGAACCAACCCCTTAATTCCTGCACATTTTATCATACTCCAGCACACGTGAATCGTAATTTCAAATATTTATATTTAGAAGGAGATGTGTATTCTGTAGGGAGGTGAGTTATAACAAGATACAGGAGTCCTCAGTCACAGACAGTTAAAGATTTATGTCTGATTATTAATGCTGGGAGTTTAGTAATGTTATCATTCAACCGTTAATTTAATTTGCCTGTGTTTATGATGTTATCCTACGTGGAAATCAGTGTTTGTGCAGACTCTACCTATTCATTTCACTTGTAAAACATTCTCCTTTATATGTTAGTTTTATTTGAGGTATAGGAGTCTTCAATTTGTGGATATATTTCAGCATCCAGAGGCAGATGAAAATTTAACAGCTGAAGCAGCATGGAAAATGGAAAGTGTTATATGTGCAACAGTGCTTCCCTTATCTTTGCACTCCTCTAATGCTGAAAATGTCCATACTTTGAAGCTGGAAAGGCTGAGTACAGGCAGGATCACGCTTACTTCCTCTCTCTCAAGCTAGCCAAAATTGCCCGCTTCTGAGATTTTTACAGAGCCAAGTTTTGCTGCAGGGTACCTGGGATTCTTGAAAATGGAAAGCAGCACATACTCCTTGTTATGACAGTAGGCTGTTCTGAAATGCTTTGGAGAAACGTTACTGCAATCCAGACTCAGTTATAGGAAGCAAACAAGCTGCTGGGAAAAGAAGGACTAAAGATAAGCTGCCTCAACTTCAACTATTCTGTTTTTCCTCTGTCTCACAACTTTTCTGGCTATTGTGGTCCTCAGTATTTTAAACCATTCACTGCTTTCCTTTTCTCAGTTCCTAAGCATCCCCCCTGTGCTTTCTTTAAGCCGGCAAGAGGGAGGTAGCACAAGAAGCACTAAACAGCTGGGAAACAGGAGGAGCCATGGGATTTACTTCTGAGCATGTAGGTTTAAAACCATGGGAAAAGAAAAAAAGAAAAAAACGGGTGCAAAAGTGGTCTTTAAGAAGTATAGATTTCAAAAGTAAGAAAAAAAAAGTACTGAAAAAGAAGCTCTGTAGTAAAAGGGGGAAGAAAAACAAGCAGTAAGGACAGAATTACTCCAGAATGAAGTTGCTCTCTGACATTTTATACAAATGTCCAATAAAATCTGTCCACAATATAGCCTGGTACTTTTAGGTATAATTTTTGCCTTTTGTTCCCTTTGTTCCATACAGAAAGCATTTTCTTTTTTCTGCTTTGTGAAAATTTTCATGACTAAGATCATGGTTTAAAACCTCCCAGTACTTTATCAAGGCTAATTCAAAGAACATACTAGAGGAAATAGAGAAAAATAGCTGAGGTACTGGTAGTATTACAATGCATTCCTCAAAATCCCCTCTTCACACTCTGTGGGATAGACTTTTTCCACTGTTCTGTAAGAATGAATCCTGGTGCATTAACAGATATAATTATGTAAAATGCCTTCAGAGACATGTAAGAACAATTACTGAAAGAGATGCAGTTATGGAAACATGGTTATCTTCTAGGGATTCTTGTGCTTATGCTAGCTAACCTGAGCGCTGCAGACAGCTACCTGTCCTGGATTCGTTTGAGAATGAAGATGAGCAATGAAGGAGTGGAGAAGGATAGAAAAACACTGAAGGCAAAGGCAACATGTGTACTGTAGGTGTTTGGGAACTTGATGGTTAATAGATGAAAGGAGAAAGAGAATTAGTGTATAAAAGGGAATTATTGTGTAATGTACAGAAAATTATGAGTGGTGAAAAAATTGGGGGAAATTGGGAGACTTTATCTGTTCATGTCAGAACAACAGCTGAAAGCCAGGGTTCAGTGGGA